CTCCTCCCACACACCTCCTCCTCCTCCCACACACCCCCTCCTCCCACACACCTCCTCCTCCCTCCCACACACCCTCCTCCTCCCACACACCCTCCTCCTCCCACACACCCCCTCCTCCTCACACACACCTCCTCCTCCCACACACACCTCCTCCTCCCACATACCCCCTCCTCCCACACACACCTCCTCCTACCACACACCCCCTCCTCCCACATGCCCCCACTAGCCCCTCTGCCCATAGTCCCCTCCTCCCACAGGCTCCACATGGACACCCAAGGCATGACTTCCTTAGCTAGGAAGGGCCTGGGTGCAGGTGAGAATTCAGCAGCACACACAGATCTAGATGCTATGGGGATTGGTGACAGCCCAGCCTCACCCCTAAAGGTTACAGAGCTCTGGTGACACCCTCTTCTCCCCCAGAACTCCAGTGCTCCCTCTGCCCTTTCCACACCTCCCCATGACCTCTACCCCTTCCCTGACCAGGACCCAGAGCCAACTGGACCCACAGAGCCCCTCTTCCCACTTCCCTGCCCAGGACCCCCCACCCGACCCCCGCAGCACCTCTGACCCCTTCCCTGCCCAGGACCCCCCACATGACCCACAGAGCCCCTCTGTCCCCTTCCCTGCCCAGGACCCCCCACCTGACCCACAGAGCACCTCTGTCTCGCACTGCCTCTGCCCCGCACTGCCTCTACCCTGCACTGCCTCTGTCCCGCACTGCCTCTGTCCCGCACTGCCTCTGCCCCGCACTGTACCTCTGTCCCGCACTGCCCCTGCCCCGCACTGCCCCTGCCCCGCACTGCCTCTGCCCCGCACTGTACCTCTGTCCCGCACTGCCTCTGCCCCGCACTGCCCCTGCCCTGCACTGCCCCTGCCCCGCACTGCCTCTGTCCCGCACTGCCTCTGCCCCGCACTGTGCCTCTACCCCGCACTGTGCATCTGCCCCGCACTGCCTCTGTCCTGCACTGCCTCTACCCTGCACTGCCTCTGTCCTGCACTGCCCCTGCCCCGCACTGTGCCTCTGCCCCCCTCTGTGCCTCTGCCCCGCACTGCCTCTACCCTGCACTGCCTCTGTCCTGCACTGCCCCTG